CCGACGGGTACGAAAACTGTGAAAACGGATGGGGTGGGCACACAATACATGGCCGCGAGAAAGTCAGGAGAAACTGGGCCATGAGCAACTGGCAAAATTCAGCTCCATGGTCCCATACATGTTCTCGTCGTTGGGGGATGCCCACAACGGGCAAAGTGGATTACACAAATAATTCGCGCCAAGAATCTCTGTGGCAACGCATGCAATTGAAACGAGCCAAACGGAATCGTTCGACATTGCCCAAACGCCCAAGAAAAGAAAACGGAAACAAAACGGAGCTTCGGAAGCGATCACGATTGAAAACAAGATGGTTGGAGACGAGCCTTTTGTTTGGACACGGATGCACCGCGCAATATCGCCACACCTTTTGCTCCCAGGTGGAGCCGGCGGAATCCCAGGACCGAGCCAGAGATGCCGACTGACAGGTTCCACATTTTGTATTCAGGCACGTCTAACCACGCGCGCAGTAAAGATTTCGCCCCTCAAATCAAAATGGTCCTTAGCAGTGGCGCAAATTGCATAATAGCCTCAGGACAAGATCTCCCACGGATAGGGTAAAAGGACACCACTTTCATGTTGATTGGTTCGAAAGCAAAATCTGCTTAAGTGGCGTTGCGGTTCGGTGCGTTTGACAAAGCATCCTCAGCACTTATCAGAGTCGGTTGGCAAGACAGAAAACGTATCGTTGCATTTCAGCGGAAATTCGATCGCTGTTTGTCGGAATTTGCTATGTCACGGGCTCCCAGACACGACGTTGTGCATCCGGGTTTTCGTAGTTTCCGGCTGGACTGTTTTGGACCCACTGGGGCGGTTGTGCCTGACCCGGCGACGACGACGACGACGATGACGATGAGGTCGTTAGGTTTATGCTCGCAGTCGTACGTCTCCCAAGCGCTGTAACCAAGAGTTTAACCAAGAAGGTCACCACGACCTAGGTTCAGAATCCCCTCGAAGAGCCTCCTGCAAACATGTTGTGTCAGATTCCCTAGGATATTTCGACAAACGTGGGCTGAAACATCTGACGACGGATGGTTTTGTAACGCGACGCATTGAGGGGAGCCCACGGGAAAAATCCGAAAAAGGTCTGACATTCGATGATAACATTACAGACGAGCTTCCGATACGCACTTCTTGGCCGGAGAGCGCCGAATCGCCTGGGCAGCTGTTGGGAAACATAATAAGTTGGACCATAATGGAAAATCCGGAACATGTTTAGACGCCCTGGGACTATCGGTGATGGCCCAGGGATTGCGAGTTTCATCGAAACGGCCCCTGGAAACTTCGACAGACAACCTTCAAGAACAAACTGAACACTCGACACCCGCACCAGGCGAGCAACGGAAGGCCGAAAGGGAGCACCCGGATGACCTTGGAGCATCAACGATGGCAGCCACCCGTCCGATTCAGGACATCAGTGAAAACGCATGTCTTCGCCAAGAGAAATAACCGACGTTGTATGACTATTACGATAAGCCAGAAGATATGTTTGAGCATTGTGACAAGCATAATGGTTTAATCGACGGGCTTCAGAAACAAATGGAGCTAGAAGGCATGAAACAAATGAACCAAGAATGCATACAAACCCTTCTAAAATGATCTGGCTCTGTAAGGAGAGCGAAACCACGACCAAACCGATTGACACACGGTGGTTTCACAATATGCGCAGCGATGAAATAAGATCCTGCCTGGCAGCGAAAGATCTTAATGTTGCCAGCGGGCGCAAGGATGCATGTCCAGCCACTCCAACACAAGTAGCTCTAAAGATACTCCTAGGCATCGCTATGGAAACTTCGTTGTGCAAACTGGCGATTTCAATTGTGCTCTCATGCATGCAGAGAACACGGACGAGGCCGCGTAATGTTTCCCACTGGAGCCATGGAGATCTAAGTACCCAGTTTGGGTGTGGAAAATGCACAAAGCGATGAACGGGTTCTGAAAACCTCCCCCACATTTTCAAGATTGCATGGCAGACGCGTTGATGAACAAATTCAAGTTCAAAAGTGGTCCAAGCGATGCCTTGAGTCTTTGGAACGCACAGTCCGATGCTTACGTGAGCAGCACCGTCGGCGATCCGATCACGATCACCGCTGGCTCGGATACGCACGCGACGCAGTAGTTCACCGATCTCGAGATGCACGCCCTCGCGAGGCGAGGCGGAAGACTCAACGAGAAGACAGCTGTCGAACACCCTGACAGGTACTGCCTGCGAGAAGGACCTGGTACCCGAGCGAGCCCGTCTGCAAACTAGGGAAATGAATATCTAAGCATGTTCGGCATGAGAGTGTCTACACGCTGTAGCGGCAGGAAGCCATAACCAACACTGTGCCTGGAGCTGTGGGTGGGGAGCTCGAGTTTTTAACCAACAGCAGCAGCAAGACAGGTGCGTGGTAGGAGAATGTCAGTGCATATGCAACGAAAGAGAACATATACAACGTGCAAAGACAGAGCGCGCGAGACAGCTAGCTGAGCCGACGCACGTTGACATGCGCATGTTGGAAAATGTTTTACGCTACCTTTGAGGGACACGAAACAATAGCCTCCACCGAAGGAGTTCTAGCAAATTTGGTGGTATCACTGCTTTAGTGTCTTTATAAAGTGCAAAAACATCCAGGGGCAGTTTTAGAAATAGTTATTCCCAAACGTTGCAGCGCGCATAAAGACAACAAAAGAAGAGCGGGGCAAATTGGACCGCCAGGAACGTCCCCACGACCGCCACCTTGAGGCCGTTTTGGGCATCTTGGAGCGCTCTTGGGCTGTCTTGGAGGCCTCTTGGACCGTTGATGGAGTTCTCTTGGCGCCCTCTTGGGGCGTCTTCAACCCCCTGGCGCAACCCCAGCGCGCTCCCAAGGCCCCAGGGCCCCAATGGCGCGTCGAAGGTCCGCCCTGAGAGCCACCAGCCTTGCCACGGCTATATACATATATCTTTATATATGCGTTATAAACATATATGCATACAAGCAAGCATACCTTATACACACATACAAACAACCATACATACATACTTACATACATGCATACAAACAAACAAACAAACAAACCTACAGACAAATGTACAAATGTACATGTCAAACGTATCGCCCCGGCTTCTGTGTAATATTTTCCCGGGGGCAATTTTAAAAAGAAGTACTCGGCGGCGAATTAATGGCAAACGGGATCCGGGGGGGGTCATCAATCTTCGAATATGTTTTGGACACCCTGTTGGGCCGGATGCCGCCCAGCGTGAAAATCAACCAGCGCAGGAGTTGTGCATTGGGGTGATTATCCCTTGCGCACGCAGCAGAACGCAAAGTGTGATAGCACAAGGCTCAATCGAAGCTGTGTTGCACGCGTTCGCTTCCAGAACACCTGCAGGCCTTCTAGCACGAAGTATCCTAAACGAGCTAGGTTTCCAGGTGACCGTCCGGGTTCGAGCAGATTCGAGCTTTGGCCGGTCGATTGCCACAAGGCTCAGACGGGGCAAACTGGAGCACTCGTGCAACAACTTGTGCGCAGCGGTTTGCTCCAGCTTGCCAAAATACGTAGCAGCGAAAACCACACAGACATTGGCACGAAGTTGTTGAACAAACAGAGCCTTGTGTACCTGAAAGGCATATTGGCATCTGGTGAAAATCCGTAGCCATCTTATACCAAGAGTGCGATCGAAGATATTACGCATCAGCGTATAAGACATAAGTACGATGCCGTTTGCAAACCACGTGCGGTTGGCATACATGCTGTGCCCAGATTGCCCATCGAAACACAGGCAATGTTTAGAAAGTGTGTGGAAACAAATGCAAGCATTGCAGCAAACTAGAGATGGACGATCGAAACAATTGGTCTGCCATTTGGAAAACGAACTCAACCATAAGATGGGAGCGGCAGCCGCAGAGGCTGGCCAGCAGTATGGTGGTGAACTACTCGCCACATGTAAGATAGCCGTACAGAGCAGTGCCGCCCGAGGAGGCATGGGTGTCGAACCAGCCGAGCCCTCCGACACCGCCACCACCGCAGCCCCGCACTGGAGCAGCGGTCGGCGGAAAGCGCTTGACAAGCGTCAGCCTCACGCGTACGCGGTCGCGGTCGCGGAGGTCTTTCAGTCGCCGTCGCAGGAAGTCGAAGGCAGCGAAGGCCAGCGGGCGTGAGCCGTCCCAGCAGGTGACGGTAATTGTTTGTTTATGTATGTTTTGTATGATGTTATTTTTCCCCCAGCAGGTGGTGGTAAGGACGTGTAGTCGCTATGAGACGCAGAGAACGAAACTCTACGCGACGCGCTCTATGACATTGGAACTCTCACAGATGGAGAAAATCAGGCAGGTGCTCGAACAAAGTGGCAGGTCGTATGAAACAGACCAGCCGGAAGTGACACACACGCTAAGCAGAAGATGGTGCGAAACGAAGAGTCCTTGCTCTGATTCGTTCAACACTGTTTGCACGATAATTGCAACATTCGACATGAATACATGGCTGGTGAGTGAACGCTTCATGTACTGATACACATTGGACAGCACGAGTATGAGCCCAAACAGAGACGCCATTCTCCAAACGAAATTGGATACGCGATCGCACACTCTGTATCATCAGAGTGTCTTGCTCTGGCCATCGTTTGAGTTTGAACGAATATGATGTTCCGATGTTGGGTGTCTCCTGAGGATGAACCCAAGCAGTGTTCAGACCAGAACTAAAAAAGCAGACAGCTCTTCCCCAGGCTAAGCCCTGAGGGGGCGTGTTAGAATACAGGCAGATGGTAGAGCACAGCATGAGCAGGTAGCATCAGTTAGCATGTCCGAAGCGCTAGAGCTCAGCTCCTCCTCTTCCTCCTCCTCCTCCTCCTCCTCCTCTTCTTCATCATCATCCTCTTCTTCCTCCTCCTCCTCCTCATCATCCTCCTCTTCTTCCTCCTCCTCTTCTTCCTCCTCCTCCTCCTCCCTCCCCCCCTCCCTCCCTCCCTCCCTCCTCCCTCCCTCCCCCTCCTGATCATCCTCCTCCCAGTGAGGGATGGGGCACTTCTCTGCCCGGCTCGCCACAGCCGCCACAGGAGACATGCCCGGCACCATCGGCTCCCCTAACCGCGCCATCTGCGCCGCCGGCGCGCCCGCGCCACCGCCCGAGGCCTTCCGCTTCTTGCCCGCCTGCCGCTGGGGGGGGTCACAACGAGAGCGTCCGAATACATTTTCCTCCTCCTCCCCCTCCTCCTCCTCCTCCTCCTGCTCCTCCTCCTCCTCCTCCTCCTCCTCCTCCTCCTCCTCCTCCTCGGCCTCCTCCTCCTCCTCCTGCTGGGGCAGGGGGTAGCTCTAGGCAGGAGTGACCTCTGGTGCGCGGCTCGTCGAGCGCTGCACGCGATGCGACAGCCGCGGCCTGCGTGCTCGGGGGGTTGGAGCCCCGCTGCGCCCCGAGAGCCGCGCCCCAAAGGTCACTCCAGCGAAGGGTCACTCTTGCGCGCAGCCGAGTGGGCTACCTACCAGACCACCCCAACCCAACCCGAAGACCCGAATTTCGGGTTGGGGGGGGTACGGGTTCCACGCGTGTTTTCTCGATGTTTCCCGAACCCCCCCCACTGGAAATCGAGGGTAAATCTGAGCCTTCGGGTTGGGTTGGGGTGGTTTGGTGGGTGGTGACCAAAGGTCACTCCAGCGAAGGGTCACTCTTGCGCGCAGCCGAGTGGGCCCGGGGCGTCGCCGCGCGCGCGGGTCTGACTACCTACCAGACCACCCCAACCCAACCCGAAGACCCGAATTTCGGGTTGGGGGGGGTAAGGGTTCCACATGTGTTTTTTCGATGTTTCCCGAACCCCCCCCACTGGAAATCGAGGGTAAATCTGAGCCTTCGGGTTGGGCTGGGGTGGTTTGGTGGGTGGTGACCAAAGGTCACTCCAGCGAAGGGTCACTCTTGCGCGCAGCCGAGTGGGCCCAGGGCGTCGCCGCGCGCGCGGGTCCGCCCCCCCCCCGCCCGCGGCAGCCAGCAGTGGCCTCGCCGACGGGGCGCCCACACTTACGCACATTCACCATGCATGCAGAGCGCTGACACGTCAAATCCATAGCTGTGGGGGCTGGGGTCGGTTTCCCACTGTTCAAAGTGATTAGATCGGCAGCGTGCCCAGCGTGCCCGGGGGAAATGAGAGGGGGCAGGCCTTCTCGGAAGGCGACGGGGCTTCTCAGGAGCCCCCCACGCATTCTGAAAGGTTTTCTGCGTACGTGTTCGGAGAAGGCTTAGAGAACTTCTCAGAAGGCCTGAGGCCTTCCGAGCCTTCTGAGAAGGCCCGCCCCTTCTCACTTCCCCCCCCGGCACGCCGCAAAACATAACTTTCGCAGCTCCGCGCGGATGTCTTGGATCTGCGCTAAACCCCCTCACCAGTGCGCGGAGCGCACCAAGGGCGGCGTCGGAGGCGCTGCCAGGGGTGTCCAGCGAAGGTTCAAGAAGTCCGCGCGGAGCTCCAAAAGTTGAGGTATATGTTCCGCGTATGCCGCTCATAATTATTCGATGGAGTGGGGGCAGGAGCGCGCAACCGCGTGAGCGACGGAAAGCCATGGGTCTTACGCGAGAAGGCACAGCGGCCCTGCGCCACGGCCCACACGGGCCGCTGGCGCGGTGTCGCCGCATGGGAAACGAGGGCACCGACGCGCGACCTCACGCAGGCAGCTTGCTCGCGAATGTCAGCGTAGTCGATCTCGTTTTCTGCGTCGCTCATCACATGTGAAGCCTGCTCCTGCAGGTCAGACTCTCGAAAAATCAGCTATGGGTTAGGGTCCAAAAGTGTGTCTGCAGCCAAAAACCCCGGCGGGGGTGTCCGATGCCCCAGCTGCGGTGGGACCCGCATGGGGTAGGGATGGCAAGACGTCGCAGACAGGAGGGCGCCAAGTATACGCCGCCACCGATCCTTGCAAGGCCCACACGTGGCCCTGGATTCGTGCAGGCGCCCTCCCGCCTTGGCCAGGGAGGCACGTCCATCGATGGCGGACCCAGGAGCGGCCTGGCCAGGCTCGGTGCAGGTGCATCGTTGGCGCCCTCCGAGGGGCGAGAGACGATGCTCTGCTTCTGACGTCTTCGTTGGTGGAAGCCTCCTAGATGGGGTCGGAGTAGATGGGGTCGGAGGATCACGCCGCATCGCCGATACATCGACGATGCATCGGCGATGCATCGGCGATGCGCCAGCGATGTGTCGCCGACGTGGGCGATGCATCGGCAACGTCGACGTGGAGGAAATCGGGCCCCACATCGAGCCGCATCGGCGATGCATCGGCGATGCGGCGCGATCCTTCGACCCCATCTACTCGGACCCCATCTGGGAGGCCTAGAGCTGGCCAAGGATAGGAGGCGATCCTGCCTCGGGATGCGTGCCAGCAGCTGCGCCTCGCAGGGGGCCCTCTGTGGGGGGTGCCCCGGGCCGTCCCGCACGGGCGCTGGAGACCCGAGCGAGGATCCGGAGACCGACCAGGGGCCCTGCGCCGTAGGGCTGTGGATGCCACGAGAATGGACACGCGAACAGTTTTGATTCGCGGGTCGAGAGCGCACCTCTTCCGGTCGAAGCTAAGCAGGCCGCGCGAAGCTTGAATTAACAAAGAGGGGGGGACAGAAGGAGAGGCCTCACGACAAGGCCAGGAGGAGGCAAAGCCTCGGAATCAGGCGGTGCCGAAGATGATGTGCTTGCAAAGGAACGCCTTGGACAGGAAGACCCTAACAGTCCTATCATTGAATGCCAACATCTGTTTAAAGTGTGTAAACATGCTCTAAAAAATGTTTCAAGCCTGTTTTTACAGATTCGAAAGCATGCCTGAGACGTGTATGAGATGTCTGGAAATGACTTGGCAGCACGCTTCCTCTCCATTAATCGACTTCTACAAGCCGTAGGGGGAAGGGGTCTGCCTGGACTCTCTATCGGCGCAACCCCCAGGGGGGCCCCGAGAGGCCCCCAGTAACCCCATGGTGAGGGCTCTGAAACATGAATCCGGGAGGCTCCAAAAAAGCCACCCAGCAGAGCCACACGAGACCCCGTCCCTGAGACACCTCCACGAGAACCCCAAGAAGCCTGTTGTCCACCACCCAAGCACAGTGGCAGGATGGGCCGAAGGCCGCTAGACCCGCCGCGCCCTGTTGCTTTATCACAGGGGTGCCTGGCGTACTAGATCCTACGGTTTGGTTTTGGTTCTTCTCCGAAGGAACTCCCTCTGGGGCTTCGGTTCATGCCGCCGGCCACCCTGAAGGCTGCATTCGACCCGGTTGCGAAGGTTTCTCCTGCTCCAGATGGCTCCAAGTTGGCCCAAGATAGTCTCAAAGATGGCCACGACGGCCTCCAAGTTCGCCCAAGATGGAACAAGATGGCCTCCAAGACGGCCCAAGAGAGTCCAAGATGCCTCCAAGTTCGCCCAAGAAGCCTCCAAGACGACCCAAAACGGCCCCAGAGGCCCCCAAGAGGCCTCCAAGACGGCCCAAGAGGCCTCCAAGAGGTCCATCAGGAGGACCCGCAGAGGCCAAAATCATTGCTTATCCTAGATGTTTGAAGGATGTTGGCATTCGCTTCAAAACGGTTTCCCGACGGCCCAAGACGGCCCAAGAGGCCCTCACGATTGCTCCGAGATCGCCCAAGAGGCCTCCAAGATGGCCACGAGACAGCCCAAGAGGCTCCCAAGACGACCCCCACAGGGCCCCAAGACAGCCCAAGAGACCTTCAAGACGCCCAGGATGGCCCTCAAGACGACCCCGAAGCGCCCCAAGCGGGCCCCGAGACGGCCCAAAGAGGCTCCAGACGGGCCAGGAACGCCGCAAGACGGCCAAAGAGGCCCCAAGAAGCGCCCCCCCAAAAGGCCCCCAAGAGGCCCCCAAGAGGCCTGAGGAGGCCCCCAAAAGCTCCCAGGAGGCCCCAAGAATGACCCCAGAAGCGCCCAGGAGGTCTTCTCATCCTTTCCTCATCCTCCTCGTCCTCTTCTTCCTCCCCCACGTGTTCCCCGAAGGGCTTCCACAACAGCCGGGGGAACGGATCGGCCATGGGCGGCCACGGCAGGGCCTTCGGCATGGTGTTGATCTGCTCGGCGTAGAAGTCCAGGACCTGCTGCCCGGCGCTCTTCTCGGCTTCCTCTCGGCCGCCAACGTCTGCGCCCCCGCGGTCGTGCGGGCCCCCCTCCTCCTCCTCCTCCTCCTCCTCCTTCCTCTCCTCTCCTCCTCCTCCCTCCTCCTCCTCCTCCTCCTCCTCCTCCTCCTCCTCCTCCTCCTCCTCCCCCTCCTCCTCCTCCTCCTCCTCCTCCTCCTCCTCCTCCTCCTCCTCCTCGACGCCGCCGCCGGCGAAGAGAAAAGGAAAGAAGGCACGGAAAGGACTTCTCGTGTCGGCAGCGCCGGCGGACGCGAGCGCGACTGCAGAGCCGGCGGGCCGCGCGCCGGGCGCGGCGCGGCACCGGCGCGGGCGAAGAGCGGAGGCGGCCGCGGAGCAGGAGAGCCCGGGCCGCCGAGGATCGGCGGAGAGGGCACGGCAAAGAAACGCCTGCCTGCCAGACCACCCCGACCCGACCCGAAGGCCCGAAGCGGACCCGAGACTCGGGCTGGGGGGGGGGGTACAGGCGCCATGTGTTTCCTCAGCGCTCCCCGACCCCTCCCCCCCGCTGGAGTTGGAGGGCAGATGGAGGCCTTCGGGTGGGGTTGGGGTGTTCTGGTGGGTGGTGAACAAACAGACTTCTTGGATCGGCGCTGCTCGCCCCAGGCGGCGCCTCTGGCGCCTCTGGCGCCCCTGGCGCGCCCAGCGCAGGTCCAAGAATCCGAGAGGACCGTCAAAAGAACTGATGCGTATCTGCCATCCGGGGCACGCTCTTGGCCCGGGGGCCGTCAAACATGGATCCGGGTTGAAGATCTGAAGAGACATCGAGGCTCGGGTTTTGAGAGAGCGCCTTTCAAATGCGCTCGCCCTGGAAAAGTCTCACGACACGTGCGCGAACTGGAGGGTCTCCCCCCCCGAAAACTCCTGCGAGCTCCTGAGACCGGGGGGTCTCCCTCTGGGGCCTCGCCCCCCCCCCCCGGCCGCCCTCCCCTTGCCACGGCGACGCCGCTCGAGACGTTCTCGGAAACGCGGCGCCAGCGCTCGAGACATCCCCACAACCGCGGCGCCGCCGCTCGAGACATCCTTCCAACAGCGGCGCCAGCGCTCGAGACATCCCCGCAATCGCGGAGCCAGCGCTCGATACAACCTCACAACCGCGGCGCCGCCGATCGAGACCTCGCAAGAACCGCGACAACCGGGATAAGAGGAAACAAGACCACGACCCAGGGACCAAGAGAACGAGAAAACGAGAAACCGAACCAGGGTCCGAGAAAACGAAACCACGACCCCATGGCCAAGAAAACGAGAAAACGAGAAAACAAACCAAGTTCCGAGAAAACGGGCCACGACCCAGGGGCCGAGAAACGAGAAAACGACAAAACTAGCCAGGATATGAGAAAACGAGGCCACGACCAAACGAGAAAACGAGAAAACGAACCAGGGTCCGAGAAAACGAGACCACGACCCAAGGGCCGAGAAAACGAGAAAACGAAAAAACGAACCGGGATCCCAGAAAACGAGATCACGAACCACGGGCCGAGAAAACGAGAAAACGAACCAGGGTCCGAGAAAATGAGACCACGACCCAGGGGCTGAGAAAATTATAAAAAAGAAGGCGGCGCCCGAGAAGCCGCCGCTCGAGACATCCCCACAATCGCGGCGCCGCCGCTCGAGACATCCCCACAATCGCGGCGCCGTCGTTCGAGACATCCCGCTCAAGACATCCCCACCATCGCAGCGCCACCGCTCGAGACTTTCGCACAACCGCGGCGACGCCGCTCGAGACATCCTCTCAACCGCGGCGCGGGCGCTGGAGACGTCCTCACAGCCGCGGCGCCGCCGCTGAGACATCCTCGCAACCGCGCCGCCGAAGAGGAGGGAGGGGGTTCGAACCCCCCCCCCACTCGGATCCGGAGGGGCGGGGGGGGGGGAGGTTCGAACCCACCCCCCTTGGATCCGAGGGGGGGGCCTTTCCTCCTCCTCCTCCTCCTCCTCCTCCTCCCTCCCTCCCTCCCTCCCTCCCTCCCTCCCTCCCTCACTCCCTCCCTCCTCCCTCCCTTCCTCCTCCTCCTCCTCCTCCACCTCCTCCTCCTCCTCCTCCTCCTCCTCCTCATCATCATCCCCCTCCTCCTCCTCCTCCGTCGCGGCCATCGTGCACAGCAGCAGAATCCACCGCCGTGCCTCCTTGCACGCTGAGATGCGGCTGCTGCCTGGCAGGGGTTCTGTAGAGGGACGCCCCCCTCCCAGCACCTGCGGAGAAGGAATCTGAATGAACATAAGCTTTCGGAGATCTCTGCGCGGACTACTTAGATCGGCAAAGGGTTCCACTGCGGGCGCCTCCAGCGACACCCTGGAACGCTCCGCGCACCACGGAGGGGGTTCCAGCGCCGATCCAAACAATCCGCGCGGAGCTCCGAAGGCTTATGTTTATGCAGCTGCTGTTTCTTCTTATGTTTATTATTATTATTATTATTATTATTATTGTTGTTATCATTCTTAGTCTTATTATTATTATTCTTATTAGTATTATTACTATTGTTCTTCTTAATATTACTATTATTATTGTTTCTTCTTATTATTATTATTACTATTTTTATTATTATTCTTCTTATTAATATTATTATTATTATTATTATTATTATTAATATTATTATTATTATTATTATTATTATTATTATTATTATTATTATTATTATTATTATTATTATTATTATTCGAACCCAGTCGCATGCACCACCGCCCCCTTCCAAGGCTCTCTGGGCACTCCGACGCCTTCCCAGGGCTCTCCTGAGCTCTGCGAAGCCAACTTGGTAGCCCAGGAGTCCACCAGCGCCGCCAAGAGTGCCCAATAGTGCCTCGAAAGGCACCCAGCAGCTCCCAAGGAACGCACAGTAGGTCCCACGAGGCCTCCAAGAGGCTCCAGGACACCCCCAAGACGCTCTCCAGGAGGGCCGCGAGGAAAAAGAAGCATTGACTGACGCTGGGTGCTTCGATGCTTTTCGCTTTTCACGCTCTTCGGTCGAATATCGCTCCACTTGCAGTCTTCGAAAGCCCAGAAGAGGGCTCACTGAGGGTCCAATGAAATCCCGCGGACGCCCATAATGGCCAGCCGCAAGACTGCCGAAGAGGGCGCCGAGACCACTCAAAAGCGCCCCAGACGACCGAAGAAGGCCTCAAGGGACCCCGAAGACTGCCCCACAGAAGCCCAAGACCGTCCCAAGACAGCCCAACTAAACCCCATGAGAGCTCCTTAAGAAGCGAAGAGGAGAGGTGTCACATGTGACGGCCTTCTAGGCGGTGTTCGAATGGCCGCTACATAGTGATTCGCTGGCACTGTAGCATAGTCGCCGCAGACATCTGAATCATGTTCAGAGCACATCCATCATCACCACACCAGCGACATCGTCATCGACATCGTCACCACCAAGACGATCAACATCATCATCACCGTCAGCATCATCATTATCATCATCAGCAGCAGCAGCCTCAGCGTCATCGATATCACCATCATCATTGGCAGCAGCATCAGCATCAGCATCAGCATCAGCATCAGCATCAGCATCATCATCATCATCATCATCATCATCATCAGCAGCAGCAGCATCATCATCATCACCACATCCATCACCATCAGCAGCAGCAGCTTCCTCATCATCGTCATCGTCATCATCAGATCCACCACCATCATCACCACCACCACCACCGTCTTCACCATGACACGAATCATCACCATCCACAACGCCATCACCATCGTCATCCCCGACCTCATAAGCATCAAACGCCATCGCCATCCCAATCGACATCCGTAGCCATGTTGGATCAGGGTGGCTTGCAAGCTCAGCCTGCGCTTGCCACCGCCCCAGCTCTCGGCCCGACGCCACCGCGCCGCGGGCCGCTCTGCGCATGCCGCCTGTCTGCCAGCACGCGGCCGTCGGACGACCCCTGCGGCGCCTGCGCGAGCCGCATCACCTCCGTGGCACCTCCGCGCGAGGCACCGCGGCCGCCGCGGCTCCACGAGCTGGGCGACGAGGCGCGGCCCGCACTCGCGGGAGGGCCCCGCGAGCGGCGCCGGGCCTGTGCTGCGGCTCGACGGGTGCGGGATCGACCGCAGCTGGGCGAGCTGCTGGCGGCGCGCCCGAGCCCGCAGCGGCCCCCGCCCAAGAGCTCGGCCAGCGCTCAGCGGAGCTCCCCAAGGACACCGCCTTACTCGCTCCGCTGGGGGAGGAGGAGGAGGAGGAGGAGGAGGAGGAGGAGGAGGAGGAGGAGGAGGAGGAAGAGGAGGAGGAGGAGGAGGAGGAGGGCGGAGGAGGAGGAGGAGGAGGAGGAGGAGGAGAGCCAGGTGGTTCCGCTGGCCACTCCAGCCGTGCCAGACCCACATTCAGCGCCTGCAGCCGACGGCATCGCGGAGCTCGCCCGGGCCAGGAAGGCCCTCACTGCGCTCCGCCGCCTGGGCCACGCCGACGACCATCCCGTCCTCGAAGGTGCCAGTCGCGAAGTGAGCGAAACGGCGAGCTCGCTCGCAGATCGCCGGACTACCTTCTCCACGCAGCGCTCGATCGGCACCACTCCAGGCTCGCCGAGGAGCCTGCTGCCGAGGAAGCCTGCCAGCGCCTCACGGCCGAGCTCGACGCCAAGCAGGACGAGCTGGCCACTGTCAAAAAGGTCCTAATTAACACCCAAGGCCCAAGGCGAGATCGCAACGGCGCGCGCGACAGCGATGGCGGCCGCTCCGCTAATGCAGGGCGGTGCGCCATTCGACATGGCGGCTATCGCTGCCTCATCTGCGCGGCCTCGCGCCGCGGCGAACGCGGCACCGAAAGACGCCCAGGCAGGCAGCGTCGACACTGCCTGCAGCACGCTGCGCGACGGTATCCTGCCCCTTGCTGGCGCACATGCCCCCTGCGAGACGGCTGCAGTGCCAGCCGCCGCTGCAACACCCGCCTGGCAACCGCAGTGGCCTGCGCTTGGCTCTCCCGCCGCCGCGCGGGAGCAGGCAGGAGCACCTGACGTCGAAGACTGAGAGTCCACCGACGGGGCCAGTGTTATGTTGCTCCTATCGTGCTTCAGGACCACATCCCAGAAATAATTTCGAGCACCCAGAAAGGTATCGAAACAGTGTCGAACGAGTATTGCCTCCCAGGGTCCGACACATGAAAACCCTCAAGTTTCGGTAATTGCTTTCTGGGTGCTCGAGATTCTTTCTGGCGATCAAGGCTACGGTAGGTTGGAACATCATAAAGCCCGTGGCGGCGGCACCTGGAAGGCACGAGGGCCAGGGCGGCACCTGCAGGGCACCATGGCCAGGGCGGACGAGCGGAGAGCCGCCGCTGGCAGTGCCAGGCTGCGGCGCCACGGGCCAGCGCGGAGGCCCGCACGGAGGCAGGTCGCGTCCGCGCGCAGGCGGAAACCTCCTCCGCGAGGCGGCCTCGCGGACAGGGGCCCCGCGGCCGCGAACCCGTGGACACGGAGCGGCCTTGCTCGCGGAGGCCCCGTGCGCAGCGTGTCCCAACGACCGCGCGCCCACGCATCGCGCCCCGGGATCCAGACCCGCGAGGGCGTGGATGTGGACACACACACACACACACACACACTCGACCAGCGGCAACTTTGGCGCAGAGGCGTACTGGGTCCTGGGGCCGCCAGGGCGCCACCCCGAGACCGCAGGGGAGCCGCCGCCGCGGCCCTCGCGGGCAGGGCCCAGAAGGGGACCTCCGGCAGGACGGGGGTTCGCCTCGCCACCTTCGGCGGCTGGCGTCGGGCCCGCTGCCGTGGAGCTTTTCGAAGGCGGGGTGGTCACGGGGCGGCCGCGATGGCCGCGCAAGACCTCTGGCTCGATGAGGGACGGCCTCCTTCGAGCACATGAGGAGGAGGAGGAGGAGGAGGAGGAGGAGAAGGAGGGGAGAAGGAGGAGGAGGAGGAGGAGGAGGAGGGGAGGAGGGGGGGGGGAGGAGGAGGAGGAGGGGAGGAGGAGGAGGAGGAGAGGAGGAGGAGGAGGAGGAGGAGGAGGAGGAGGAGGAGGAGGAGGAGGAGGAGGAGGAGGAGGAGGAGGAGGAGGAGGAGGAGGAGGAGAAGGAGGAGGGGAGGAGGAGAGGAGGAGGAGAGAGGAGAGGAGGAGGAGGTGGAGGAGGAGGAGGAGGAGGAAGAAGAGGAGGAAGAAGAGGAGGAGGAGGTGGAAGAGGAGGAGGAGGGGCAGTTGCCAGTGGCTGGTACTCGTTCGTGTATAGGCCGCGGCAGCGGGCGTCGGCACCCTCCCCGGCGAGCACGCCGGCCGCCGCGCTCCTCTCGAGGGCTACGACGGCATGGGCCAGCGCACCTTGGCCCCTTTTTGGGCGCTTGCGGTCTGCGTAGATGCGGGCCCACGCGGCAGCCCCTCCTCCTCCTCCTCCTGCTCCTCCTCCTCCTCCCTCCTCTCTCTCCTCCTCCTCCTCCTCCTCCTCCTCCTCCTCCTCCTCCTCATCCTCCTCCTCCTCTTCCTCCGCCTCCTCCTCCTCCTCCTCCTCATCCTCCTCCTCCTCCTCCTCCTCCTCCTCCTGCTCATGCGCCTCCTCTTCCTGTTTCTCCTGCTCCTCCTGCACCTCCCTTTCCTCCTCATGCCGCCTCGGGGACGACGACAAAGACGAAAACCTCAACGACCTCAACGACGACGACGACGACGACGACGACGACGACGAGGACGCTGCCCAGCTCCTTCTGATTGGGGGCCAGCTCGCCCGCGAACTCCTTCCCCTTCGCAGGAGGGGGCGTCGACCGTCCACCCGCGCGCCGGACCCCTCCCCCCCGCCAGGGCCAGTCTTCTGGCCCAGGATCAGTGCGCGTGCGCCCTCCTGGCTCAGAGGCCTCCCAGATGCGCCGCATCGCCAATCGCATCGGCGCCACGGGCGTGAAGAAACTCTGGCTCCGCATCGAGCCGCGTCGTCGCTGCATCGTCGATGCGAAGCGATCCTTCGACGGATCCCATTTAGGAGGCCTCGATTTGGCGGCGCGCAAGAGGGGGGTGAGGGGAGAGGGGGGAGGCTCCTTAGAAGAAGGCTGCTTCTTAGAAGGCGCAGGCCCTACATCTACAGATCAGGCCTGCGCCTTCTAAGAAGCAGCCTCCTTCGCCTTCCAAGCAGCAGCCTCCTTCGAAGAAGCCTTCCCTCTTCCCCCTACCCACCTCTGCGCGTGGCCGATAGATGGCTGGGCTCCGAGGGCGCACCCGTGGAGGAGCAGAGAGCGGCTCGATGCCCGCACGGACTCGTTCGGTCGGCGCTGGGATTCCCCGGGAGGCGCCCCTGGCGCGCTGCCGAGGGGACCCAGCTCCACCCCGGGACAGCCGCGTGGACCTGCGAAAACGAATGCTCATGCGTCTCTCCCTCAAGAGCATGCGCCCTCCTGGCTGGGCATCGATGGCACACACACACACACACACACACACACACACACGCACGCACACACACACACACACACACACACACACACACACACACACACACACACACACACACACACACACACACACACACACACACACACACAAAACACACAGACACACACTTGTTGGCGGTAGCGGCCTCGCGCGCAGCGACGAGGCGCAGCGAGTCGGAACGCAGAGCGCGGGGGCCGGGCCCTCAAGCCTCACCCAGGCTGCAGGACCTGCCGACATCTGCCATCCGGGCGTGGATGGCGGGGATGTGACACGCCATAGCGCGGGCAGAGCCCGATCGTCAGCATGAGAAGAGGAAGGCTGCATCAGCCATCAGCGCACCCGCAGGGATGGCAGGGAGGGTGCACGCAAACCGAAGGACCTGCCCAGTCGGCGAGCGTGGGGTGGAAGGTGAACGACGACGAGGCAAAACTGGGTAAAGATCGTGGACGGCCAAGAAAGAGGCGTCCAAGACGGGGGGCGCAAATCATGGCCGGCGGCACGTGTGCGGCCCGGGGGGGGCGGGGACGCAATCAAATAACAAGGGGGGACATGAAATCAGGAAGATTTCATGGCCCCCGCCATGATGCCCACCCACCCCTAGTCATCACCCCGCTCTTGGCCTCCCGAACAGAGCAGTGCCCCGCCAAAAGGGCGCACGTCAAGGGAAGTGCGAAGCACCAGAACAACATTGCAAGACAGAGGCCCGCGGCAGGAGGAGGAGGGAAGGGAAGAGGAGGAGGAGGAAGAGGAGGAGGGCGGAGGAGGAGGAGGAGGAGGAGGAGGAGGAGAGGAAGGAGGAGGAGGAGGAGGAGGAGGAGAGGAAGGAGGAGGAGAAGGAGGAGGAGGAGGAGGAGGAGGAGGAGGAGGAGGGAGGAGGAGGAGGAGGAGGAGAAGGAGGAGAGACGAGGAGCAGGAGGAGGAGGAGGAGGAGGAGGAGGAGGAGGAGGAGGAGAGACGAGGAGAAGGAGGAGGGGAGGAGGAGGAGAAGGAGGAGGAGGAGGAGGAGGAGGAGGAGAGAGAGGAGGAGAAGGAGGAGGAGGAGGTGGAGGAGGAGGAGGAGGTGGAGGAGGAGGAGGAGGAGGAGGAGGAGGAGAGGAGGAGGAGGAGAGACGAGGAGGAGGAGGAGGAGGAGGAGGAGGAGGAGGAGGAGGAGGGGACGAGGAGGAGGAGGAGGAGGAGGAGGAGGAGGACGAGGAGGAGGAGGAGGGGAGGGGAGGAGGAGGAGGAGGACGAGAGGAGGAGGAGGAGGAGGAGAGGAGGAGGAGGAGGAGGAGGAGGAGGAGGGAGGAGGAGGAGGGCAGCTGAGAACAGGGAGGGCGCGAGGCGCTGGGCCTATAGCGGCGCGGGCGCCGCCCCCAGGCCTCCGAGGAGGCGAGAGGCGGGCCACCTGCGGGGAAGCGACCCCCACAGGTGGGGGGTCCAAAAACACAAAGGATTTGCCACACGTCTGACAGTCGGTGGCTCCCCTCACGCAGATCGGCGGGGTCAGGGTGCAAAAACACATGGGATTTGCTACAGTTCTGAAATCCGGTGGCACTCCTCACGTAGATCGGAGGGGTCAGGGTGCAAAAAACACATGGGAGTTGCCATATCTTTCAAATTTGCTGGCACCCCTCACGCAGATCGGCGGGGTCAGGGTCCAAAAACACAAAGGATTTGCCACATTTCTGAAATTCGCTGGCGCCCCTCACGCAGATCGGCGGGGTCAGGGTGCAAAAACACAAGGGATTTGCCACATCTCTGACATTCGGTAGCTCCCCTCACGCAGATCGGGGTCAGGGTGCCAAAACACATGGGATTTGCTACAGTTCTGAAATCCGGTGGCACTCCTCGCGCAGATCGGCGGGGTCAGGGTGCCAAAACACATGGGATTTGCCATATCTTTCAAATTTGCTGGCACCCCTCACGCAGATCGGCGGGGTCAGGGTCCAAAAACACAAAGGATTTGCCACATTTCTGAAATTCGCTGGCGCCCCTCACGCAGATCGGCGGGGTCAGGGTGCAAAAACACAAGGGATGTGCCACATGCTTGAAACTCGGTGGCACCCCTCCGACAGATCGGCGGGGTCAGGGTCCAAAAACTCACCGGATTCGCAACATTTCTGAAATTCGGTGGCACCCCTCACGCAGATCGGCGGGGTCAGGTTGCAAAAACAAATGGGAGTTGCCACATTTCTGAAATTTGCTGGCATCCCTCACGCAGATCGGCGGGGTCAGGGTCCGAAAACATAAGAATTTGCTACATTTCTGAAATTCGGTGGCACCCCTGACGCAGATCCGTAGGGTCAGGGTCGAAAAACAAACAGGTCCCGACACTGCTTCACGGCGGCGCCCAGACCTCATGACTTAGCTTTTGCATCTCCCATTATCGGAGACAGGGGGCCAGCGGCATGGGGCGAAGCCCTTACGGATAGATAGGTGTGTGTGTATATATATATATATATATCGGCGGCGCAGAGGATCCCGGGCGCGGACGACAGATGGAAGTGCCAATTGCGATCGAGCATTGTCGAAGGCACAATGCACAAACCGTACATACTGTCAAATGCAGCGAGGGGCGGTGTGGCGGAGGAACCTCTAAATCCAAGCGAACCGTGCTGCGGCCAGAAGACCGAGGAAGCCACTCAACTCGAGAGGAACTGCAGCGCGAGCAGTCCGAGGGCATGGCCGCGCCGTGCGTAGAGCCTGCCGACCCCACACTTATGTCGGGCGTGTCCCCCTACAGGGGGATTTTCGACGAAAAATAAAATATACCCTAAAAAAAACCCAAGAAGGCTAAAAAATACTCAAAAAAAAAAGTCCCCAGACTATTTTTGGATCATTTTCTGACTTTTGTTGGTGTATGTTTTCCCCTGTAGGGGGACAGGCGCGACTTGACCCCACACGTCGTGTGCACCTCGAGCCGTGCGCTGCTGCCTCTGTGACGAGCGGGGCCCGGCGCGGGCCCCGCTGGCGTTCCGCCTGGGACGCCCGCGCCGGCACCGCCGCCGCGCCGACGCGGCACGAACCTGCCGTGGGCATGGGTCTCAGACCTCCGACGCCTTGACCTGCTCAGCACAGGGCCATCTTTAACACAGGGGATTTTTTTTTAAGACAGGATCTTTTGTACATGACTAGTTTTTGTTATGAATGAAGTTATGCATGAACTCGTCGTGGTTTGTAGTGCTACATCCCTGCATTTTTGGCACTCCAGATTTCGTAATAAAGGGAGGGGGGTCTCATTTCGGGGGGGGGTCTCTTCCAGGCTATCTTGGAGGGCCTGGGGGGTCTGGGGACGATGTTTTGGAGGGTTCTCCCACGGGGGAGGTCTACAATGGCTTGTCTTGGAGGGTCCAGACCCCCTCCCTTTTATCACGAAATCTGGAGTACATGATCCCCACGCGGAGCATGTATCAAAAACGGCACTGTACGGTGCCCCCGCCCCGGGCCCCACGGACCGCTGCCCCGGGGGGCCCGTCTCCCGTCGTGGGCATCCCTGCCGGCAGTCGGCCCCCGGAGCCCAGAGGCGGGCCCCAGGGAGCGACAGGCAGGAGCAGGAAATCCGCCCCGATTCTCACAACGCCTTCGAAGGCCTGGACTCGGCGGGCGTCGCAAAGGCGGCGTGCCGCATCGGCTCTCCGAAGAGCACGCCATCCCCACAAGAAGGCGCCCTCCGTGCACGCCACCCCTGTGAGGCGACCCCTCCGCGAGGGATGCTGCTGTGCACGCTATCCCCCTCTGCCAGGGCTTTCCCCGTGCACGCTATCCCCAAGAAGGGGGATAGCGTGGAATTCGGCGGTGGACAAACCTCCCTTTAGCAAACCACCCTGAAGTGAAAACGTTCTAGGACCGAAACCGACGCCCTCTCGCGAACCGAAAACGGCCAATTCGCTCATCGACGTGTCAGGGTACACCCTGCGAAATGCTTAAGAAATCATGGGTTACGAAACTCAGAGTCTCAGAATTTGAATAAAAACCCAGAATAATTTCTGTTGAAATCTCAGGATTCACATTGAAGCATTAAGCATAATCGAGACTCTGGCCAAAAACTTAAGTTTGTCTGAAGCATCGCCTAGGGGGTAGGGGGTCGATCCACCTCGGAGGAACAGGCGGGCCAGCGACGCCACCTCGCACGCCATCGCTGTCAGCTGCATGTAAGAAGCGACCCCCTGGGCTACCTGCCAGACCACCCCAACCCAACCCGAAGACCCGCATTTCGAGTTTGGGGGGGGTAAGGGTTCCACACGCGTTTTTGACGATGTTTCCCGACCCCCCCCCCCACTGGAAGTCGAGGGTAAATCTGAGCCTTCGGGTTGGGTTGGGGTGGTTTGGTGGGTAGTGACCCCTGGGCAAAGGCGGCCTTCGGTTCGCGGCTTCCGGGGGCCGCGGGGAAGCCGAACTGGAGCGCGCAAGCCGCTGCTGCCGCATCGCACTCGGCCATCTGGGGACCCTTAGGTGGGCTCTCCGGGGAGCTTCGGACGGACCATCGCGACCGCCGAGAATTGCCATTCAGTGGCACTTAGTGTCGCTATCTTATAAAGGAATACCCAATTCGAAGACATTCTACAGTTCCCCAAGTTGGCCACATAAGGACCCCATTGCGCCCGCACCAAAGGTCACTCTGGCGAAAGGTCACTCTTACGTATGGCCGATTTTGCGACGCCAACCGTAACCAGTCCGTAGACCCCTCCTGAAGTCCACCTGGTGCACTTCTTCGCCCTGGATCCGTTTTTGAAGGTCCCGGCGCCCGAAAACGGCCCCCAGGGTCCGACCTCGCCCCCCCCCTTCCTGCTCGCCAGAGCCAATGCTGGGCCACCTCAGACCCCCAGCCAGCTCCAACTGCTGACCCAGGTCAATGCACACCCGTGTCAGTCAAGCTTTGCAAGATCCTGCAGGATCCTGCGCGCCAACCCGGGTCAGTGCACCATGTCTCTGCAGGATCCCGCAAGATCCGGCGCTCTGGCTGACCCCCTTGTTTGCAGTGGCCCCCGTCTCTACAAGCTCGAGTCGGGCGGGTGGTCATGGGGGGGGGCCTGAATGGGGGGCGAAGAAAAAGCACCTAAAGAGTCTTTCAGGGCCCCTTTGACGCACCTGCTGGCTCCAAAAGGGGCCCTACAAGGCCCTATTTTGAGCCCTTTCTTCACCCTCCACTTAGGTCACCAACGCATACCACCCGCCCCGTCGAGTCTAAATGATTCTCGCCCACCGGCCTCGATGCAGTTCAGCTTCACCGTGGACTGGAAGCCCCCCGGGTACTTCTGGGTGGTGTATTGGACGCGGCGGGGAGGCCAGAGCCCACGAAAACCGCGAGACCGCCCCCCCCCCCCCTGCTGGAGGAGGGGGAGGAGGAGGAGGAGGAGGAGGAGGAGGAGGGGAGGAGGAGGAGGAGGAGGAGGGGAGGAGGAGGAGGAGGAGGAGGAGGAGGAAGGGGGAGAAGAGAGGAGGAGGAGGAGGAGAAGGAGGAGCAGGAGAAGGGAGGAGGAGGAGGAGGAGAAGGGAGGAGGGAGGAGGGAGAGGAGGAGGAGGAGGGAGGAGGAAGGAGGGAGGAGGGAGGAGGAAGGAGGGAGGAGGGAGAAGGGAGGAGGAGGAGGGAGGAGGGAGAAGGGGGAGGAGGAGGAGGAGGGCGGAGGAGGAGGCAGGAGGAGGAGGAGGACTCCGTCGAGGTACCGCCGCGTCGCCGCCCGTTACCGCCTCATTGCCGCCCACTTGGGAGGGTCCGTCGGGGCATCGCCGCGCCGCCGCCCGTTACCGCCTCGTTGCCGCCTCATTGCCGCCCACTTGGAGGCGTCCGTCGAGATTTCGCCGCGTTGCCGCCCGTTGCCGCCTCGTTGCTGACTCGTTGCCGCCCACTCGGGGGGTCCGTCCAAGGCTCGCCGCGTCGCCGCCCGCTGTCGTCTCGTTGTCGCCGCGTTGCCGTCCACCTAAGGGGGGTTCGTCGAGGTTTCGACGCATCGCCGCCCGTGGACGCATCGTTGCCGCCCACTTGAGGGGCCCGTCGAGATTTCGCCTCGTTGCCACCCGTTGCCGCCTCGTTGCCGCCCACCGCGCTTGAGGGGTGCGTCGAGGTTGCACCAGATAGCTTGCACCACACAGCGTACACCACACAGCTTACATCACGTAAACTGCACCATACTATGTGGGGTCCACGCTGGTTAACAGATGTTTCCAAAAATGGTCGTGCATCCGTATAGCTAGTTTGGAGGGGAAGAGGTGAGATAATCATGTCCAAAGAAGAGTTCAGCGATACCCCAAAATCGAAAAAGGGAGCGCCCTCTACCCGCATCACCGCAGCACAAGTTTACATTCAGGGTACTGGTTTGTGGATGAGTCTCGCGCGAGAGGCCCACGTCGAACAGGAACTGTCATCCATCCCTTCAACTGCTGCAATATGTTGAACAAGAATGTGCGCCGCGCTGAGGCGAAAGCCACACATTAAAAAGCGGACACCTTCCACGAGTGTGCGCGGCGTCCAAGCGAGAATCGCATCTTGAAACGCTCCGCATTCCATCCGCGAAGCTGCTGGCAAGAGTGAGGCTGCAGGACCCCTGACGGTGAGCAAGCAGGAGCGGGAGGGGGAGGGGCGAGCGGAAGGGGGAGAGGGACGAGGAGGAGGAGGAGGAGGAGGAGGAGGAGGAGGAGGGGGCCAAGGGGAAGGAGGACGAGGAGAAGGAAAGGAGGAGGAGGAGGAGGAGGAGGAGGAAAAAGGAGGAGGAGGAGGCGGAGGAGGAGGAGGCGGAGGTGGAGGAGGAGGAGGAGGAGGAGGAGGAGGAGGCTGGAGGGGGAGGAGGAGGAGGAGGAGGAGGAGGAGGAGGAGGAGGAGGAGGAGGAGGAGGAGGAGGAGGAGGAGGGAGGAGGAGAGGGGGAGGCTGGAGGGGGAGGAGGAGGAGGAGGAGGAGGAGGAGGAGGAGGAGGAGGAGGAGGAGGAGAGGAGAAGGAGGAGGAGGAGGAGGAGGAGGAGGAGAGAGGGGGAGGCTGGAGGGGAGGAGGAGGAGGAGGAGGAGGAGGAGGAGGAGGAGGAGGAGGAGGAGGAGGAGGAGGAGGAGGGGGAGGGAGGAGAGGGGGAGGCTGGAGGGGGAGGAGGAGGAGAGGAGGAGGAGGAGGAGGAGGAGGAGGAGGAGGAGAGGAGGCGGGGGGAGGAGGAGAGGGGGAGGCTGGAGGGGGAGGATGCGGGGGGGGGCCGGTCCCACCGTCCCGGGGAGGCCGTGGCCGCCCCGGGATGTCCTCCTTGGCCACGGGCCGGGCGCAGAAGCGCTGGCAGAACTCGTTCACCGCGGTCTTGGTGTCCTTCGCCGCCAGCCTTATGGCGAACTCGGTGTCGATCTCCGCCATTGTCCTCGGGGTCCGCCGCCGCCATCGTCGTCGTCGATTTCCTCGTCGGGAGAATAAGGGCGGGAGGAGGGAGGGAGAAGGAAAGAAGGAGTGGAGAGGAGGAGGCGGAGGGGGAGGGGGAGGGGGAGGAGGAGGAGGAGGAGGAGGAGGAGGAGGAGGAGGAGGAGGAGGAGGAGGAGGAGGAGAGAGGAGGAGGAGGAGGAGAAGGAGAGGCAGGAGGAGGAGGGGAAAAAAGAAGGAGGAGCAGGAGGAAGATCGGATCCGCTCAGCTCGCGGGTACATCTTGAGCCACATTGCCGTGGAGCAAGGAGGGAGAAGGCGGGGGAGGAGGAAGATCAAGAGGAGCAAGAGGAGGAAGGGGAGGAAGGGAAGGAAGGGGAGAAAGGGGGAAGAAGGAGGAGGAGGAGGAGGAAGATCGATGAGGATCTGGGATCGCGGTTATGGAACATGTCTGCCCCTTCAGGGGCACCTAGAGGCCTTCGGAGGCCCCGAGGGACCGCAGGCCTCCTAGGGGCTTCGGGGGGCCAGACCTCCACAGACGAGGGAAGGATGAGCAGGAGGGTAAGTGGAGGATGAGGAGGAGGGAAGGCAGAGGGAAAAGAGAGAAGGGAAGGGGGAGGGAAGGGGGAGAGGGAAGCGAAGGAGGGAGGGGAGGGAGGGGAGAGGGGGGGGGAGGGCGAGGAGGAGGGAGGGGAGAGGGGGGGGAGGGAGAGGAGGAGGGAGGAGGAGGAGGAGGAGGAGGAGGAGGAGGAGGAGGAGGAGGAGGAGGAGGAGGAGGAGGGAGGAGGAAGAGGCGGGGAAGGAGGAGGGGGAGAAGGAAACGGAGGAGGAAGAGGAGGAGACGGAGGAGGAGAAGGAGGAAGACGAGGATCCAGGGGAATCGAGAATCTAGGCTCGGGGGCGCTTTCGACACTGAGCCTCTGGAGACCTCCAGAGCTTCAGAGACGACGAGAAGGACAAAGGAGATGAGAACGGCGACGGAAAGCGAGGAGCAAGACGTTGTGGGAGAACAGCCAGGACGACGTCGTCCACGACAATGCAAGCAACAAGGACGACGACGACGACGACGACGACGACGACGACGACGACGACAACGAAGACAAAACGACAACAAAGACGACGACGACGACGACGACGACGACGACGACGACGACGACGACGACGACGACGACGACGGCGGCGGCGGCGGCGGCGGCGGCGGCGGCGGCGGCGGGCGGCGGGCGGCGGGCGGCGGGCGGCGAAAGGCGAAAGGCGGGCGGCGGGCGGCGGGCGCTGCCTGAAGCCGCGAGAACCGCAGGTAGAAGGCCCGCGGGGGGATCGAAAACTGTTGGCGGGATGCTCACCCACCCCAGACCCCCTCGCGTCGTGAAAAAAAATAACATTGCGCAATATTCGGGCCCTGGGGTGCGTTCCATAGGCTGCGCCTCGTCGAAGGGCGTCCCAGGGAACCTGGATCGTCCCAGACGGCCGCCAGAGGCCCGAGCTATGGCCCGAAACCAACGGATTGGCACAGACCGTCTCGCGATGGGGACAACAGCAAAGAAAAAACAGCGCAAAGGCTTTGGGCCGTTCTCGGCCTCCTGGAGGGAGGGGTGCCTCGCTGGGCCCCAGGGCCGTCCCTCGACCTGTACCTTCCACGCCTTCCGCGCGGAAGGTGCCGCCGCTGCGGCCTCGACGATGGCCGCCGCTGCGGCCGAGGCGGCGGCCGCGGCAGCGCGGCACCTGCCACGCGGAAGGTGCGGAAGGTGCAGGTCGAGGTCTCTGTCTCTGTTGAGCGCATCAGGACAACCTGGCATCATGTGCCTCTGCTGAAGGCGCAGGTCCGACCCGAACATAGAGCACACAAATCTTGCAGTACAGTGGAGGCCAGTCCACAAGAAACCTCCCACAAGAAACCCAACCCTGAGACCACAAAGCGTCTTTTCAATTTCGGTGTGGGAACGTCACGTTCCCCATCGAAAAACCATCGAAGCCCAATCAACCCGGGGCACCCTGGAGGCAAGCGGGGTGCTTCTTGCCATGGGTCTCCACTGTGTGCCCCTCGTGTCCACAGGCTGCCAGAGGTCTGCGCTGGTTCCGGGGATCGGCGCCAGAGGCGCCGCCAGAGGGGGCTCCGGCGCAGACCCGAGAGACCCACGCGGACCGTCAAGGCTCGTGGTTACGCGCCTGCTGCTCTTCTTCGGGCGTCGCCCGTGGGGCAGGCCCGGCGGTGCCGGGAGAGCGACCCTGGCCCCGAGTGCCTCCAGGAGTCTCCAGGGAGGCCAGGGAGGACCCCAGGGGGCTCCAGCGAGAAGCTGGGGGTGGGGCACCCGGGGCCAGGGTTAAGTCAGGCCTGTCCCCCTACAGGGGGATTTTCAACGAAAAATAAAAAATAGCCCCAAAATAATCCACAAAAATAATCCAAAAATAGTCTGGGGACTATTTGGGGGGTCTTTTTTTACCTTTTTGGGGGTATCGTTGGGGTATTTTTCATTCTTCGTCGAAAATCCCCCTGCAGGGGGCCAGGCCCGACATACGGCCAGGGGCAGCTCTCCAGCAGCCCTCGAGAAAGGGGGCCCCTGCCCTCCGCAGGGCCGCGCCTCGAGACAGCACACAAAAAAAAATGCAAAACACGACGCGCGTGGGTCTGGGCGCGCGCGGGCGGGGGGGAGTCGCCTGGGCCGCTCGAGCCAACAGGGCTCCGCCGGGCCCCCCCTCCTCCCTGCGGCGAGGAGGGCAGGGGCGAGGTCGGGGGAGGGCGTCGAGGATCAGGAGAGAGGGTCGAGGCTCGAGGGCCGAGGGATGAGCCTGCTGGGAGGCTCGAGAATCGAGGGCCGGGGGGCCGAGGGCCGAGGGTCCAGGGCCGAGGCTGGGGGAAGCCGCTGGGGTCGAGGATCCAGGGTCGAGGGAGCGGGGGTGGTCGAGGATCGAGGGATGAGCCCCTCTGGGCTCGCGGCGGGGGAGGTCGAGGGAGGAGGCTCGAAGCTCGAGGATCGAGGGCTTTTGCTCCCGGGCTCTCGGGGGGAGCTCTGGGGAGGCCTCCGTGACCTCTGGGGACCTCCAGGTACCTCCCGGGACCTCTGGAGGCATTCGGAGACGTCGGGGGGGGGAGGAGTAGAGAGAGAGGAGGAGCAGCAGCAGCAGCAGCAGGGGAGGCAGGAGGAGCAGAAGGGAAGGGGAGAGAGAGAGAGAAGGGGGGGGGAGGGAGGCGGAGAGTCGGAGTAAACCCAAGATGCACCAGCGATGCTGAAATACACCCTCCCGTTCCAAATCGTCTCGATATTAGTTCCTACGACCACTACTACTCCATTCAGGCAGCGCCCCTTTGTAAGGGACGAACGCCCCCGGGCACTGCCATTCAGGCGAGAGCCAAAATCAGCCCGGCGAAGGACCCAACCATATGCAGTTGTGTGTACCGCCCTTGTGAGTACCGTCTTCGGCGGAGCTCCCTGTGGGGCCACGAACCTTTTGAGGGGTGCGCCGACATGAGGGTGGAACTGCATGCGAACGCTGCCACTGGGGCCTTCGGTGGAGCTCCCTATGGGGCCACGGACCGGGTGAGGGGTTCGCCGAAATGAGGGTGGAGCTGCATGCGAACGCTGCCTCTGGGGCCTTCGGTGGAGCTCCCTATAGGGGTCACGAACCCTGTGAAGGGTGCACCGAAATGAGGGTGGACCTGCATGCGAACGCTGCACTGGGGCCTTCGGTGGAGCTCCCTGAGGGGCCAAGAACCTTTTGAGGGGTGCGCCGACATGAGGGTGGAACTGCATGCGAACGCTGCCACTGGGGCCTTCAGTGGAGCTCCTTATGGGGCCACGAACCCTGTGAGGGGTGCGCCGAAATGATGGTGGACCTGCATGCGAACGCTGCACTGGGGCCTTCGGTGGAGCTCCCTGAGGGGCCAAGAACCTTTTGAGGGGTGCGCCGACATGAGGGTGGAACTGCATGCGAACGCTGCCACTGGGGCCTTCAGTGGAGCTCCTTATGGGGCCACGAACCGTGAGGGGTGCGCCGAAGTGGGGTGGAGCTGCATGCGAACGCTGCCACTAGGGGCCTTCGGTGGAGCTGCACGAACCCTGTGAGGGGTTCGCTCGAAATGAGGGGTTCGCCGAAATGGGTGGAACTGCATGCGAACGCTGCCACTGGGGTCTTCGGCGGAGCTCCCTATGGGGCCACGAACCCTGCGAGGGGTGCGCCGAAATGACGGTGGAACTGCATGCGAACGCTGCCACTGGAGCCTTCGGTGGAGCTCCCTATGGGGCCACGAACCCTGTGAGGGGTGCGCCGCAATGAGGGTGGAACTGCATGCGAACGCTGCCACTGGGGCCTTCGGTGGAGCCCCCATACTGGGCCACGAACCGGGTGAGGGGTGCGCCGAAATGAAGGTGGCTCTGCACGCGAACGCTGCCACTCGGGCCTTCGATATGGGGCCACGAACCCTGTGAGGAGTGCGCCGAAATGAGGGTGGAATTGCATGCGAACGCTGCCATTGGGGCCTTCGGTGGAGCTCCCCATGGGGCCACGAACCGGGTGAGGGGTGCGCCGAAATGAAGGTGGAACTGCATGCGAACGCTGCCACTGGGGCCTTCGGTGGAGCTCCCTATGGGGCCACGAACCGGGTGAGGGGGTCGCCGAAATGAGGGTGGAACTGCATGCGAACGCTGCCACTGGGGCCTTCGGTGGAGCTCCCTATGGGGCCACGGACCGGGTGAGGGGTGCACCGAAATGAGGGTGGAGCTGCATGCGAACGCTGCCTCTGGGGCCTTCGGTGGAGCTCCCTATGGGGCCACGAACCCTGTGAGGGGTGCGCCGAAATGACGGCGGAACTGCATGCGAACGCTTCCACTAGGGCCTTCGGTGGAGCTCCCTATGGGCCACGAACCCTGTGAGAGGTGCGCCGAAGTGAGGGCGGAATTGTATGCGAACGCCGCCACTGGGGCCTTCGGTGGAGCTCCCTATGGGGCCACGAACCCTGTGAGGGGTGCGCCGCAATGAGGGTGGAACTGCATGCGAACGCTGCCACTGGGGCCTTCGGTGGAGCCCCCATATTGGGCCACGAACCGGGTGAGGGGTGCGCCGAAACAGAGACATGTAAGGGGCAGAGGCAAGGAGGGTGAGGAGGATGCAAGAGGGGAGGCAGCGGGAGGATAAGGGAGGAGGACGCGGGCGCTGTCTCTTCAAAGCGAGGACCCAACACCACAGGATGGTTGGGAAAAGCCAAAGACATGTCCAGCGAGGGCCCGTTGTTGAAAACGAGCCGCCCTCCATCCGAGTAACGGCTCCACAATGAAAACGTCTGGCCGTAAGACATGATGACGTCTCAAGCGAGAACCCCATGCTGACAAGGAAGCACCCTCCATCCGTGAGAGCACTGCGAGATTTAGCACGGATATGCTCGGCGCTGAAACGAAAGCGAGATGCTGAAAACCCGCCGTCCTCCATCCAGGCAGCTGCTGAATTCCGTAAGACGAACGTGTGCGGCACTAACGCGAGAGCCGCATGCTGAAGAGCCAGCCGTCCTTCACCCGCGTAACCACTGCAGGCTGTGATGACGACTGCGCGCGGTACAACGGCCACATGTTGAAGACCAGTCGCCCTCCACCCGTGCAACGGCTGCGAACTTCCAACATGATTGCACGCGGCGCCGAAGTGAGAGGCCCACACGTTGAAAACCCTCGGTCCTCCGCCCGTGCATGTGTTGAAAACGTCCCGCGTCATGCTCATGAATAGTGAGGAGATGCACGGCCTGCCCGCCACGCATGGCGGTGCGACAAGGAGCTCTACTAATGAGGAAGCGGCATGGAGGGCGAGGAGGGCGGAGGAGGAGACTGCTCCTCCTCTAGAGCAAGGAAAAAAAGATAACATACACAGAGGTCTGCAAACATGTCTTAAGTCTGCGCATGACCCGCCATTCTGGCTCGAAACGCGCGCCAGGGGGGATCGAGTGCCCAGTACGCCTGGCTCCTGGCGTGATCTTCAAGGCGCGATCATCATCATCATCATCATCATCATCATCATCATCATCATCATCATCATCATCATCATCATCATCATCATCATCATCGTCATCATCATCATCAGCATCATCATCATCATCATCACCATCATCATCATCATCATCATCATCATCATCATCATCACCACCACCACCACCACCATCATCATCATCATCAGCATCATCAGCATCATCATCATCATCATCATCATCATCATCATCATCATCATCATCAACATCAACATCAACAGCATCATCAACATCAACATCAACATCAGCAGCAGCATCACCTGCATCATCATCATAATCACCCTCATCATCATCAGCATCATCAGCATTATCATCATCATCATCATCATCATCATCATCA